ATGAACACACGCTATAAATCACAGTGATTCACACACTTCACTTACGGCTTGACTCGATTATCTCTATCTTCAATCTCTCTATCTAGCTGCAATTATATCTCGGCTTTATTTGCCGGGCTTATATACTAAAAGAGAGGGCGCCTGAAACAAACTAGAGTTGCCAGGAAAAGTCATGATCCTTCTAGAAACTCCAGCGCGCATGCTCCCAGCGTCGCGTGACTTCCGCTGTCGTAACATATGCAACATCAGTAATAATGTCGAATGCAGTTTCTGTTATTATTTGTGATAGATGATAGATTTGTGATCAAAATATATACTGTCCAAGGTTAAAAACACGTAAGAATGTTACTAAATTTTAAAGAGTTCAGAGCTAAGAACCTGAAAACATGATAAAAATATGAAAAAAATTAATATATCTTTATATAATTATAGTTACAATGCAAATAACGGAACCGTGAATTTATAGAAGGGTTAAAAAATAATATAAAAAGATTAATAATATGTCAAAACTGTAAGGATTCGAAGTAAGTCAGACAATATATCAAGTTAAACTAAAGCAAATAAAGGAAAAGCGCATTTCATTCACAAATTAGCTTGGTTGTTGTTAAACACAAAACTACAAAATAGGCTATCTGTGCTGTGCCCACCATGGATATCGAAACTCGGGTTTTAGCTATAAGCCTTCAGCCATACCACTGAGCCACTGAGGGCTCGTTCACAGAACAAAGAACACTTACTCTAAATTAACAAATCTTCTCATCTCAACTAAGACCTAATAAATCCCTAACAAAATGTTAAAGTTAAGTGCAGACTCTCATTGTTAACCGGTTGTATTTTTAACAGTGACATAAAGACATGTCAGTTGCTCAGGGGTAGTTGCTCAGGGTCTAGAGCCGCAAGTGCCCATCAAACGAAAATTATTCCCAGCTTGTGTAGATGCATTTATAAGATACATAATATTAACACTTTTGGGACCCAGGGGTGGGCTCACCTGAAACACAGAACCACCTCGTGAAAAATCTACCCGTGAATAGGGCAAGTATAGCAATCTTTAAGGCCCTCTCCGAGTTAAAAACTAGAGACCCCACCCCCTCCCAATCACACAAACTTGTATTAATCTGGAACATGGTTTTATTTTCTTTATATTATATTTTAGGCATTGCTAGGGTTTATCTGTAAGGGTGAGAGGGAACGTTATAATATATATTCTGAATTCGTTTTTTGTTTTGAATATGTGCAGATTCCACATAATGTGATAAACAAAACCTTTATCCTGTTTCAAGTTATCTTTGTTCCTTTGTTGTTTTGGAAGTAAGTAATAAGTGTTAGTGCTCATTGAGAATGTTGCTTAAAGCGACTTTGTGTAAGTGTGGTATTTTCAGGTAAAACCTGATTTCCCGATAAGTATCACATAGATGGACCCTCTAATAAGAGAAGATTCGCCTAGGAAATCAAGAGTAATTCTGAATCTGATAACTTGGTAGAAATTAAAACAACCTTTATTATTAAACAAACAAAAAGAAAGTGCAGGGTACGTACTTGTACACTTGAAAAGACAGTCGCTTCTATTAGAGTGTGCTCAGCTCTGTTAGATATACACGGCTGTTTTAATATCATATATTGTGTAGTTTCATTGTTGTAATTAGACGTTTGTGTTATTGCGTCATGTTACTAGAACCTTCTAAGTTTTCTCGTTGTTTGGTGAAATATTAGTACATCTTAATATCTTGTAGTATGTGGAAAGCTCTAGCCCTCAGATGGGCTACCTATAAATACGCGTCCAAAATGTAGTTCAAATAAGTTAGTAAGACAAAGTTAGTTATATAGTTAGATAGATAGATTTAGACGGCGTGATTGTGAGTTTAACCATAAAGAGCATATAGTGGCAATTGTTAAAGTGAATTATCACAGGTTGTATTGTAAGAACAGAGTAGAGAAAAAAATTATTTGTCTTTTCGTTGTGTTCTGAAGTAATTGAACCAGCCGGCGTGGTCTTTGAAGATAAAGATACAATTATTTAAAGCTCTGGATACAATTGTGATAACCAACAGTATAATGAACATTTGTATATATACGTTTGACTTGTTTTAATATATTATTTTTAAACAAGTGGACAATGTGCTGTTTGTTTATTGTTCAAATTTATTGCGAACAGTTCACAGACACCTACTGTGAAGGACAGAGCCCATCCATATCCATACCTAAAAACCTGATAAACTCCATAGCTTTTTTCTCTTGATATCAATTTCTGTTGAACTAAACACGATCATCTTGAAGCAAGTCTTTACTCGATGATTTTATAGTAGAATTGAATCAAGAAAATGTGCATTAATTCGACAAGTAAACTCATATTCTTTGTTCAATCGATATTATTGCCTTATGGCCTTTTTTCTCTCTCACAGCATTAGTCAGCTATTAAATATAGGGAATATCAACATAGAACAGATAGCCCATTGTGTAGCTTTGTATTTAACGACAACCAAGCAAGTTTGTGAAAGAAATGTGCTTGTCATTTATTTGTTTTAGTTTGATTTGATATTGTCTGACTCACTTCGGATCCTTACAGTGCTAATCGTTTCAATCCTAATGCTATCAATTTCAGCAATATTTTTTGGGAAGAATAAACCTTTTTTATCATATGGAATGAAGAAACAAAGCAATCTTTATGACTTTCTGAACCACGTATTTATGCTAAAACTGCACACAAACCAAATACACAATTTTGTTTTAAAATTAAATATCACTAAAACAGGTAGAAAATATATGATATGCATGCATATAACATATGTATGTTGATAACGGTGCATATCCTTTACTGGTTATATAGGTTATACTTAGAGATTATGGCCACACTTATGTGTAAAGAGAACGACCAAGCACGTAGTAGTGCATGTCATGCTAAGTAAATATGAGGTTTTTGAACCTAGGAATCTTTGGATTTGGCAATCTGGTAGATTATCTTGACTTGAGTGATCATTTGTAAGTTCACTGCAAGTATGTGCCACGACTTTGTATTTAAGCTAAATAAAGGTTGTTCTTTTTCTTCAATGACAAACTTTGTTCTCGCAAATGGAGATGAACTAAACATGAATGGAGAGGTCATGCTCCAGCTTTGTCGAAGAAGGTTCACTTACAGAATGAAGATAGTTGTCACCAATCTCAATCCTGACATCAGAAATCTTGGGATGAATGTACTGTTCAACTTATCAGTCAGTTTAGTATGCCCCCCAGTGGTACAGCGGTATGTCTGCGGACTTACAACGCTAGAAACCGAGTTTCGATACCCGGT